ATCTGTCTTGTCTATCATAAAGATTATAGATAGGAAAATATTTATATATAAGGATAGTTATGATAGTGTTTATGATACTAAACATTGGAATCAATAATAAAAAATTCAAATCATTGTATACCCATTATCCAAAACTGTTAAAGCTATATCTGTTAAAACTGTATTATTGTTGGATGTGGTGGCACATGCCTGTAATTCCATGTGAGAGGCTGAGGCAGTAATCCCAGCACTTGCCATGAGTTCCAGGCCAGCCTGGGATACATAGTGAATTCAAGGCCAGTCTGAACTACATAGAGAGACCTTTGTCTCAAAAATAAGCAAACAAAAACTATATTAACCAAAAATTATCATGAAAAATTGTTCATAATTAAATAAGCAAATGAAAAGTATATAAAACAATATAAAAATTATCTCAACTTTACAAATATACATGTGTAGGTATCTTATATGTATTATGTATATGCATATCAGTGTCTGTAGGTAGTATAATGATGTTATTTATTTATTTATTTTTAAGCTTTTCTAAATTTTCCAAAATTTCTATAGTGATCATGTATTATTCATAAACAGAATACACCAAATTATATTCAAAATTTTTAAACATTTTTCTTTTAAAAATTGATATGATCTTGACGTGGCTTTGAGACTACTTACACTGGTTAATTGTTTTCAAAAAAGGATTATTATTTAATTATCTCTTAAGACCATATGAACTGAGTAAGGTTATTATGGCTATTCACCAGAATGTGCACATTATGACATTATGTGACCTGGGGGCCTATGATAAGAGTCACCCAGCATGTGAAAAGGGTGCAGGACTCAGGGTCTTGGTCTCATGACCTAGAACAAAGCCTTTAGTAGTCTTTGGGATCTTAGTTTTTTCCTACCAAACAGATAGCAACTCTTCCTCTACTACTTTCACAGAGTTCTCCCAAAGACCAAATGAGATAATCCAGGCAGGATGTTTTGAAATGTACGTTATTATGAAGACAATAACTGTCATTTGAAAATGAATTGTGCCAGCCTGATAGTTTATATATACGGTCTTTCTAAATCTCCTTCCTGGTAAGGGAATATATACTCCCTCAGTTGCAAAAGAGAAAAGCCCTCCTTACTTCTTTACAGGCCCCTTTCTTACTGAATTCAAAAGTGCACAGCCCTTGCCGGGATGGGGGTACAAATAGGTCAGGGAACGTACCTTTGTCTATCTTTAAATTTTAGGGGGAAATTACCTGGCTTTTTCTATCCTTGAGAGGAAATGGCAGTGCCCTCAGATGTTCTCATAGGACCAGGGAAGAGGACAAATTCTACATGACTTCTCTACAAATATAGGATGTCTCTTAGCAAGTTTGTTAAGCCTACATCTCCAATCAGTGTGACAAGATCATTGAGACTGCACATTGGCCCTCATGAACCTCTCCATAACACTATTGTTGTGAGGACAGCTGTAACATTCGACTAGTAATTATTGCAGACTCTTGCTATATGTAGTTATGGAGGGCAGGAAATCCACAGTTCCTCCATGTCCCACAGCAGTCAGATTGTGGAAAGGAGCAGAGGCCATCACAAGTAAAGGAGGATATTTTGACTGACCTAGAAAGCTTACTACATTCACAGTGGCTGCAGATGCATCTTACGGGGAGCTTTGAAATAGCCTGGACCACGCTCCAGGTATAGAATTTAACAAGAATTCTTGAGGGTGGGACTTAGGTGGTCAGTATTTTTTAAGCTCCCCAGGTGATCCCATGTGCAACCAAGATTGAGAAGTACTGGGATAGGATCTAACACAAATGTAGGCATCACCCTCTATGCCTGCCTTCAACACACTTCCCTTAGTGAGGCTCCTCCACATTCAGCTCTCTCCTACATATTCCCTGCACACACTTCTTACTTGCCATGGACCCCACTCAGCCCTCAGCTCCTCTGCAGCCTGGCTCCATTTTCCTACACAACAATGAGTATCATCTTAGCCCAACACACTGTTTTGAATCAGGCTACTTGGGCCATAGGATGCTGCCTGACCTAAAGACTGGCTACTCTGGGGAAACAGCTGAGTCTTTTGTTCCCTAATAATTCATGAGAAGGGACACACATTTTACAGTATAAAACACAGCTACCCTGGCCTGCCCAAAATCTATTGTATGTGAGCACCATTTCCCTCTACAGAACTGTAGGATACTTGAACATACTTGGTTCAGTCATAAATCATAATATTGAAATTAAACATTTCCAGGAATCCATAAAAAATTAAAGACGAAGGTTTTACCCTCTCTATACAACATGATGTATGAGTCTTTTCAAATATATATATATATATATGTTAATAAAATGGAAAGCCCACTTAACTAGATTTAGAATGCATGTATAATTTTACACATCCTTGTCCATAGAAACTACAACTGAAATGAAAACTAAAGGACTATGATATTCATTATTATCTTAGCCAGAAAAGTTTTTTAGTTTTCATAAGAAATTTTTTATTAAAGTATAATCTACATAAAGAAAAGAACACATATGATAGGTAAACTTCTTAATGGCTTTTAAAAAACTGAATACCTTTGTAATCACTGCCCAGGTCAACCAGCCAAACATTAGCCAGGCATGGTACACACCTGGAATGCCAGCACTCTGGGAGGCTGAGGCAGAAAGATCAAAAGTTCAAGCCCAGCTTTGGAAATTTAGTAACTTAGCAAGACTTTGTCTCAAAATAAAAAAGGGGTGGAAATGTAGTTCAGTGCAAGGGCCTATGTTCAATTCCGAGTACCGGAAAGAAAGATACATAAGAAAGAAGAAGAGAAAAAAAGAATGAGAGGCAGAGAGGAAGAAAGAAAGAAGGCATTATCACCACCCGAAGACATTCCTTGTCTCCCCTTCTAGTTAGAACTGGCCTCCAAGAATAACCACTATCTTGAGTTCTATCAGCACAGATTAGTTTTACTTGTTTTTGTTCTTTATATAAGTGCAATCTTATGGTATGTAGTTTATTGTGTTCTAGCTTCATTCCTTCAAATATTCATTCTTATTTTTGCACATAATTTTAGCCAGATGTTTCAGTCCTTAAATCTAGTTCAATAAACATTTTTTCATTTAAGAACTGTAATCAGAGCTAGGGTTACAAAAACAAATAATGAAAAGGCCCTGCTGTAAGGAACATTCAATCTAGTAACCTAGTAACAATGGGAATTTAATGTAAAGTGAATCCTTCTTTGTTCAGCAAATATTTATTCAATATCCCCTCTGGGACAGGCACTATGCTAGGGATAAGCAGTGAACAAGCAGACAGAATTCTAGTGGAAATCCTTCTTTTCACTTCTGTGACATGCCTGTGCAGATTATGTCCACTAACGTCCATTTCCCTCTTCATCTTTCATCCAACTTACCATAAAGAGAACTAGCAATGAAAGCTATTTCTTCTGGTTACTTAGAGTGTAATGATGAAATCTCCAGTCAACTATAGGGCAATTTACAAATCTTTGAGCATGGGAAGTACTTCTCTATATGTATTTCTGCCTTGCTGAAGTCTGGCTATGATGCTGGCTATGCAGAATGAAACGAAAACCTGGAGCCTATAGAAGCCTTTGGAGTCAGCTTACCTTGGAGTAAGGCTGAATATTCTATTGTTTTCCAGAACCATAAAGTGAGAAGAAACCATTACCAAAGTGGTAGCAAAATTCATAAACCTTTAAATTTGTTTTAATTACTATAGGCTTTGATATGCCTCCAATTCATTAGTGTTGGTTTTTCAGAGCCTAGTGAATTGCTTGAGTAAAAAGCTGTGATATTAGAGGGAAAAGGGATAAGAAGAGAATCCCACACCACTCCAGGAATGGTAGTTTAGAAAGTAATCCAAGAGAGCATCTCATTTTGCTTGTTTGGTTCATCCTCCCACTTCCATTTTCATTGGAAAATTCCAAGTATATATAAAAGTTAAGATAATAGTAAAATTCACTGCCATGTACCCATATTTCAGTATCAAAAATTATCAATTCATGCCTAATTCTTCTCTAATGCCCTGTTGTTCTCCTCCTCTGATTATCCCGAAGCAACCCCAGATGTCAAAAAAATTACTCTTAAATGTTAGAAAGTGAGATCTCCTAGTTTTAATCCTCTTAGTTAGCAAGCTCAGAGATGAAGTCACTTAGCAAGTTAGTGACAATTATTTTTAATCTTTAAATGCTAAAAGTAAAAATTACAAGCTTTTAGTAACAGAATTAGTATTGTTATGTTATTATTATAGAATACACAATTCTATCATTTGATCTAGCAGTACTTCTTTCAAGCCTTTCATTCAGAAAAGTGGCAAGTTCCCCAAAGAGTTTAACAGGGTGTGGGGACAGCTAATTGATGTCCTTTTTCACCAGAAATTTTGAAACCAGATCCCTTTGGATTTTGAAATTGTGAATAAATTTGTCCAAGTAAAAGTGTTTCTTTCAACTAGTTAGAAATAAATGGTCTAAGATTCTAAACCTCATTGTTTCCTATCCTCATTTTGTCTTACTTTCAAGGTCAGTCGATATTCATCAAGCTAGTCTCAGTGACCTGTCTGAGATAAAACACAACTGGGCATGCAGCTGAATATTTGTAGGTTTCCTAAGATTAAAATCCCAAAGCACCATTAATTCATCCACCAGAATGTTCCAGAGGTTTCCAGGGCAAGTGGAAAAGGTTGTTAGTGTCTCTGTTGTGGAAACATCCAAAAGCTGGTTTGTCTGCATCTGCTGTCATACCTGCTTTGCTTGTATCTCAAAATGTTACCTGGGGCAGATGGTAGCCATGGTTGTAAAGAATGGAGCACAAGCACCTTTAATGAGTATTTGATGAGAAAGTGATTAGGACTAAGAAAAGCTACAAAGAGTGTCTGCAATAAATAGCACTGTAGAAGACAGACTTCCAGGTATTTTTCTGTGTACAACCCCCACTCAATTCTCTGAAAGATAACAGTAGCAAAAATTGACAATCTGTCAGTTTGACAATTTTCATTGTATACTTTTTCTGGGCAGGTTATTCACATCAAACTCCTTTGATGTGATCAGTGATGATGCCTTTATTGGTCTTCCACATCTAGAGTATCTGTAAGTAAAATGACATTTTTTTTTTCACATGATGAATCAGGACAAGTACTCTCAGGTTCCAGGCAGCTGTCTGATCAAAGTATTATGACCTATTGCAGATTCATAGAAAACAACAACATCAAGTCCATTTCAAGACATACTTTCCGGGGACTAAAGTCTTTAATTCACCTGTAAGTATGAAGGTTGCTATTACTTTTTAAGTTTGCCAACAGATAATGCAAGTTGATCACCTGTGGTTAAAGTTCCTATTTTATGAGCACCCATGAGAATTTAAGAACCCAAGTGATTTCTCTTCACACACACTTGCCTTTTCTCTCTGCCGTCTGTCAGCATGTGTTCAGGAAATTGATTACTACTACTATTTTTAGCCCAAACCATCCATGATTAGAAAAGCAATCCAACACATAGAAATTGTGTGACTGAAATAACTTTTTTATTATCTACAACATTGCTCACTTCATGGATGATTATGGGTTGGCTATATACTTTAGTTTAAGATTAGCTTTTTTTCTGGATAAACCTTGACTTTATATACTTTTAAACCTAAAATAGCCATGAGCAATGTCTACCTAGTACCTGAACAAATTATTTATAAGTGAAATATTTAATTATTCAGTGTATGAGCAGAGCTACAGTAGTTATTCTTAACAGGGGGCAATTTTGTCTCCCAGGGAACATTTGGTAGTATCTAAGGACATGCTTGCCTGTCACAACTTGGGGATGTAACTGGCATCTAGTGAGTGGAGGGCAGAGTTGCTCCTAAGTAATCTACAGTGCACAGGACAATCTCTCACAGCCAAGAATTGTCTAGTCTAAAATGGCATAAGGGGAAGGTTGAGAAACTCTGAACAGTGTGGACTGTACTGTTTCTTTTAGATCCTTCTCCCTCCTGTGGACACACATAGATACAGACAGAGACATAGTCATAGGCATACACATACACGTACACACACAGATATATTTTTAAGGAAACTAGAAAAGCATGGGAAGAAATGACAGTAACACATATTATGTTAGCCGTTAGGCTTTACATCAATTTTCATTTAATCTTCTCGATAATCCTGTTAAGTAGACACAACAATTCCTATGTTAGAGATGTAAAAACAGAATCTTGAAGGGAATATATAAGTAGTGAACTGCTGAGTTATGGAATTGCAAAAATACTGACTCAATAGTTGAATTGCCCTGGCTAATTACCCATCTTATGACTATTTCTCAAGTGTTGAATATATGTCTCATTATTGCTAAATAAAGATGCAAGGGATCATTGTCATCCCATCAACCTTAATCTGCTCTATCAACATACTCATTTCCAGGCACCAGGATGCATCAAAGAATAAAGTGGACAGAAGCGCTCTACCCTCCTGCACAGAATGGGAGAAAATGTTCTCCCTATCTCAGTAGAAAGGAAGGAAGAATGGGGCATGGTGAGGACAGGAGAGGGAGAAAGAAAAAATCTGTATAACACCATAGGGAAGAACACACAGTTTGCTTGACAAGAGCCCATTGTGTCCATCAAATGAAATGGAATTGAAATTTGGGTGAAAAATGAAGCCTCTTCTTTAGTGGTACAGAATCTATAAGTAGAGAAAAATGGTTTGGCATGTGCTATTTAGAAATTTCCAAGCTCAAGGGAAAACAGAGGCATGAAGAAAGGCATGATTCTAAAGGGAAAAAGAAGTCCTGACTGTCTAAACCAGTGGTGGAAGTGGAAAGGAATTGTGTTGGGGAAATGTTGACTGAATAAATATGATCCTTAGATTTTCTGCATTTTGGTCTAACACTCATTAGTTTGACTCATATTAGACTCTTTTGATCTACAAAAATGGTAGTGCTATATGGTTTGTTCTAAATAGTTTCTAGAAATGTGACTTATACTTTATAAAGAATAGGATCCATAAAGATGGTAAGCTCTAGGCCCCCCAAGGGGATCTCATTCTAGCTTAAGGGTGGTAAACCTATGGCATGCATGTTGTTTTTAAGACAAAAGATGTTAATGTATGAGTTGTTGTTTATTCCCCTAAATTAAAACCTCATATTCAAGTTTAATTGCAGTGTTGGCACTTTGCAATAGATAAGTAGGTTTAGGGTTGCAGTTTGGGCACTCATTTCTAAAAGCTTCACCATCATTGTTCTAGCAGAAGAAATTAAACAAATACTTTCTCAATGAGAGCCTTTGTCTCCACATTTTATTCTCCTTCCTAATTAAGCTATTTTTCAAGGTATATTTCCTTCCTTCCTTTCTTCCTTTTAAAGAGAGAGTGGGCAGTATTTGAAAGCCAAATGTCCTTTTGCCTGCTCAGTACATTCAGTTCATTTTTTACTATTTTACTGCTTACAAATAAACCCAGAATTTGTTTAAACCATTGATTTCCTCTTTAAGATTTTTGGCTTGAAAGTCACTTTTCCCCACCTCTGGCTAGTTCTTCCCAATAGAAAGGCAAACATCTCACCCTCTAACCTGTACATGCTGATTGGAGTTTACAAAGCTATTTCATGTTCTTGACCTCATTATAGTCTCCTAGAAGTCTGTGGAAGAAAAGAGCAATAGCATCACCTTGGTGATGAATGAGAACATTGAGGTCTACCTTGAGTTGAAGTGGCTCACCAGTTAGTCAGCAGTCACCAGAGTTTCCCTAGGTTTTCACTTTCCTAGTGATGTCCCTACCATGTCTGTTAGAGCAGGACCAGGAAGCTCTTATTGAGTTGACTGGATCCTTCCTTGGGGCATGACTTGAACAAACCTGACTAGAGAAGAAAGAGATCCTGAAGACAAGAGCCCTACCATTGTTGCTCTCAGTCTCCAAATGCAGATAGTTGTGATTAGATGCACATTGTTAGATTGAAATGGTTCCCACTGTGACCTAATATTAAAGCTACTCCAAGAAGACAACCTAAGCTTAGTCCTTTGCTAAAGAAATAATGAACTTTTTCATTTTCTAATACAGTAAACTTATTTTTCAGTAGACTTATTTTCTAAAGAGACAAGAGCTGTCTTTACAGACAATTGAAAGATACTATATATCAGTGATGGAGAAACTTTTGGAGACTGAATGTCCAAACTGCAACCCAAAATCCACTTATTTATCCCAAAGTGCCAACACTGTAATTAAACCTGAATGCTTGGCTGCTGGGGCAATTCTGGGGTGAAGCGGCTCTCTTGCGGATAGAGAGGGCTCTGAGTGCCCACTGTAGCACATGTACCATAGGTTCCCCAGCATTATAGATAGATTAGATAGAGCTAGAGCTAGAGCTAGAGCTAGAGAAAGAGATAAAGATAGAGATAGAGATGGAGTTAGAGATAGAGATAGAGATAGAGATAGAGATAGAGAAGAGATAGAGATGGCAAAATCCTTTTCCTTCCAAATTAGCCCTCAGAAAAGGAAGAGTGAGTGAGCTCCTTATAGGTAAATCCCTAGAAAATCTGTCAATTCCTGGGGCTAAATCTCAATTATTTTTTTCTGAATCACTGTTCTAATATTATGCATCCATATTAGTTAGATTTTTCTTACTATAATGAAATACCTGCACCAAGCTAACTTTATGAGAAAAAGAGATTTATTTACCATGCTGCTTTGGAAATTTCAAGGGCATGGCACTAGCACTGGCTTAGTTCTGGCAATGGCCCTCTTGCTGGCACAGTCCTGAGATGGCATCTAGCGTCATGTGGAAAGATGCTGGAAGCACACACTTCTGTCTCTGTGTCTTATCTCTATCTCACCTCTTATAAAGCCAACAGGATGCAGTCAACACTAATGACCTTATCTAAACCTTGTCATTTTCTAAAGGCTCCACTTCTAAACTCCATAGACAGATTAAGTTTTCACCCTCTTAGTGTCTCTAATATATGATGCTGGGGGTTAAATTTCTGCATGAGTTCAAAGGGACAGATCACATTCATGTTTAACATAAGTCATCGAATGGTTTGTATACTTCACAAGATCTGAGTTTTTCTGTCATGATATATTATTTTTGTAGTCATAAAGTGAATTTAAATTACTTTATAGACAATGATAACAAAATCTCTAAACATTACTATTGATTTCTGTTAATACTCATTGAGCTTTTTTCCCTTGGGTGCCACATAAATGTCACTGTAGTTGTGGCCTGCTAGAGCCAGGGTTATTTGTATGAGTGTATAAAGATATTTAGGGGAAATTGTCATCAATCTGTACATGTTGTGAAGGAGCTACTGGCTGATCAGCCCTGTAGCGGTACAAAGAATATATATAACAGTCTTCAAACTCAGGATGCCTATGTGGCCCCAATCAGTCAGGCAAGATGTCTTTGTTTTAGCTTTCACATTGACATATATGTAAAGAGGTAACATGATGTAGAGGCTGAGGGGAGATCGTCTGCTACCAGATACCTAGGTTCAAAGCCTAGGGGACCTTGGTCAGTTTCTTTAGCCTTACTGTGACCCAGACTGCTCATGTGTAAAATGGGGGTGATAACCTGTGAAAATGAGAGTGAGGGATAGCAAGGTACTCAGAAGTACCTGTCTCCTAAGGTTGATTTGAGGTTCAATGAGTCAATATCTGAAAAATTATTAGAACACAGCCTAGTATGCAGTAAACACCCTTGTGGAGGAAGAAACTAGAACTCACTGCCTAACCTGGGTCAGGACTCCTAATGCTGCCATGTACTCATTCCCTTCAAACATTTCATATGAAATCAAAATAACTGCACTTCAATGCTGGAAGTTCAGTAAGACACAAACCTAAGCTGAGAATCTGCATTGCAGGGATGCTGGGAGCACCCCAGATGGCTGTGGGTGCTGCTTTCTTAGCAGCACAGCTTCATGGCACTGAAACAAACATGTTGGTTGAGCCAGTCTGGTCTGCCTTAGAGATAAGACTTTCCAGTAGGTTCCATAGCCATAATCAGAGGTTTTCTTGGGTAAACCATCAGAACACCAAAGTGGAGGAAATGGTCATCATTTCTGTCAGAAAAGGATGGCAGTCTGCCCTTGAGAATGCTTGCTCCTATTCAACTAGTTTCAGTTGAGCAATACCCTAGGTGTTTTAAAGGATATTTCTCAAGTAGACTCTGAATTGAAGTCACACTTTCAAGAGCCACCATGTCACCTTGCAATAATCACCACAGTGAGCTGAGGGAGGAGAGGGTATGCTGTGAGAGCAGGCCTACATTACATGGTGGTGGCTGGCAAGGGTAATTCACAGGGCTTTGCACTCTCTCCCCAAGTCAATATCCTGGCACAGGAGCCTAAGGGAAACAACCACTGCTTTTTCCTTTATCAGTTCCCTTCCTCTCATCCACTCCAGACTGCCTCATTCATTTATTCATTTAAAAGTATCTACAAGGGCCAACTCTGGGCCAGTCACAATGCTAGGCCTCGGGGATACCGTGGAAAGAGAAATATTCATGCCATACTCATAGCTGAATCATCCTTGAAAAAATTAACAGTGATGAAATGTTTTCTCAAATCTCTCATTGCTCTTGGTCTTCAGGTGTTAATTATCAAATCAATGAAACTCAGATTTGAAGATATCAAAACAGAAACCCAGAGAGGTACTAATGAACTAAGTGATGTCAGGAAGTTCAGCTACAACCAGTTTTACAAAGGATATATCACATATTTCACCTGCTACGCAAGCGTAAGGACCCGAGTTCGATCTCCGGTACCAAAAAAAAAAAACCAAAAAACAAAAACAAAAAACAACAAAAAAAACATATTTCAAACAGACCTTCTATTATGAAAAGGAGTAATATTAAGTCATTGCACTGTGAAGCTGAAAGAGGGGTACAGGAAGGACAAAACTTAACCAAAATATTTTTCTTTCTGATGGCAAAACCCAAGGGAAAAGTAGAATCTAAAGTATCAAATGACCCTAACAATCAACCCCCAAATAACTCTAATCTTAATCCAAAAAGTGCTGTCTCAGTATCTTTAGATGTTTGATCAACGTAACAGAGACCAAATTTCATTTTCTTCACCCTTTATGTGTAACAACCAAATGGTAAGCCACTATGACACAGCCTTTTCCTTCCTAGTGACCCTGGCCTGGTACCCTTGGCATCATTCTGCTCTGGAGAATCTTCCTGAAAGCCTCAAAACCATGAAGCTTTCTGGAGGTTCCAGTTCTTCCTCATTGCTCGCTTTCACCAAGCAGAGAACTCATAGCATAGGCTCCATGCCAGGCTGACTATGGTCCCCAAACTCCCCAGAGAATGAAGGCTTGAAACCATGTGGGAATTTTGGAGGAAACAGGTAGTTCCATCCTGCAGAAGGTCTTGTGAAAAATGTTTGCCTGACCTGACCACTCAGACATCTGAGTGCTGACCATGATTCCCACACTACTTGTATGGCTTTGGAGTCTGATGAATGCAGCCAAGTGATTGATTTAGAATGACTCATCCTCAATAGACAGAACCATATATTTACTAAGCAACAGGGTCTTTTTGAAAAGTTAATGCCATTTTTCATTTCTTCTGACTATAAAATAATCATACATGCTTACTAATAAAAAAAAAACCTTACAATCCAGACACTTCCATAGCAAAATGAATGATTCCAGTAAACCCAATCCAAGATGTAACCTCAACCATTTTTATATAACTTTATAGGGGTTTCATTATGCACTTACAGACATGTATCTTTTCTCCTACACTCTAAATGCTATTACACTCTACATACTATTCTCTGTGTTTTAATTCGCTTGAGCATCACTTCATGTTAAATAATAAAGAACTACTTTATTTTTTAATTCACAAAATATTTCACATTAAGTATAAATCATCATTTATTTACACAATTCCTTATTAATGGACATGAAGATTGTTTCCAATTCCTTGCTGATACTGACAATGCTTAATCAAGTAACTTTCCTAACTTATTAGTTGGGCTGAAAATATTTCCAGTTTCTCTTCCTTCACTTGTGAACTGGCAAATTCTCTTACTTGGCCACAGCTAGGACACAGCTCCTTCCTTGTAGGTCCATTTCATATGTTTCACCTTACCTTGCAGGTTCTGCTGAGCCCCTTCCATATCTAAGGCATCATTCAGTCCCTACCACCAGCCTGGACTAGAAGGTGGCTTTATATTGGGACCCTGTTGCAGTTTTTGCAGAATAATTTCCAGGCTCTATCAGTATTGCTTCCCTAAATCATTCTCTGCCCAAGCCCCTCTGCTTGCTTTCTGTTCATCCATATGTGACCTCCTCTCCTCACTGGGTCCTTCAGAGACTTACGGAACCTATCTGAACTTCATTTCCTAGGCCTTTGTCATCTAAAAGCCTTCCTCTTGTTTCTGGGTCTTACTTCCTCTTCTTCTTGCTTCTTTTATAAGTCTAAGCATCCTTCACAGGACTATTGCCCACTAAACCTAGACATGAAACTCTACCTTATCGCCTTTATGAGCAGCAAATTGTGAATCAGTATTTCACTGAGTTTTGTGCAGTAGATCAGCAAAGTGTGGGCATTGAATGCAGTAAATCCATCAAGCCATTTCTCTCTCTGGCACTGCTCGTGCTGTCTTACTCCACCCCCAAAAGCCTCTGGTTCAGAGGTGAGAGCCCTTTGTAACAAGAAGTCAGCAAGAAGCATAATGCCTCACTCCACAGCCAGGCTGGCTGGCCCTTCTCTCCCGTCTCCTAATTCTTGTGATTAAAAGTCCTCCATCTTATCATACAATAACCCCATCTCTGCCAGAAGCCACAAAGCTCTAAGTCTCTACCCCTATCTTGACAGATGTTTCTGAGGTTAGTCAACTTTAGATATGTGAGACCTAGAGCTCTACTGCTTTGGGCAGAAAATGAAACTTCCAAATTTGGCATTATTTAAAATATCCCCCACTCAAAATAAAATAAAATATTCCCCTCAGATAGGAAAGCAAACATGGTTCCTCTTCCTATGTAATACCATGGGCAATAATAATTCAGAATCTGACTGCTACATTTTATCTCCATTGTCCTATAATCCAACCTCCAGCCAGTTGCAGTTTGTTCTGGAGGGAGGAAAGGTGAGAGAGAAAGAGAGAGAGAGAGAGAGAGAGAGAGAGAGAGAGAGAGATCCACTTAGCACTTAGCTTGAGAATTTTAAGACATTGTGCCAGAAACTCAATTGAGACGCATATAGTGACTCTGAACTGGTCCAAAGCATGAAAAAATCTCTTCATTCAAACACCAGTCATGGATGAGGAGTATAGCTCAGTGATAGAGCACCTGCCTAGCATGCACAAGACACTTGATCTGAGCTGTAGCATCATAGAAAAGTTTTTTTAAAAAACAGTAGTCAGATGAATTGTGGAGATACTCTATTGAATAATCTTATCTGTGTTTTATTAATACTATTCATTCATATGGTCAGTTTTCTAAATGTTGTTTCTTGGACAAGTGTACACAGGAGCTCTTCTCCTTTCTCTTCTTCCAGTTAATCTTTTTTTTTTGTACCAGCGATTGAACTCAGAAGCTTGTTCTTGCCAGGCAGGTGCAGTGCCACTGAGCTACATCCCCAGCCCACTTCCAGTTAGTCTTTATTGAGAGTAGTTCAGGTACCAGGCACTATTCTTCATTATCTCATTTTCTTTTTCCAATAATCTATATTTTTTTAAAGGCACTATTATCTCTAAAACTATCTCCAGTATTCTCTCAGAAAAGTTGTATAACCAAAGTCACATAACCAGTTAGTGGTTGAGTCAGGATTTAAACCTAGCACGGAATGATTCCAAAGCTGTGCCTTTCATCACAAAATTGGCCATCATTGAGATTAGAACTTTCTGAGTCTATGCCCATTCTTACATTACATGACCACTTAGTAGTAATTTCTAACTTCCCCCAATGAAATAATAAGCTAAAAATAATAAGTTCCAAGTCTTGAATATTTGTACTTGAGAAATCTCACATTTAATTAGAGGACATGATGACATAGACTTTTGAGAGTGTTTTAAAGGACTTTTAAGAGGATTTACAAGAGCTTTGGAGGCCAACAAAGCTGTTTAGTTTTTATTTGTTTTGTTGAAAAAAAAACTATGAAAAAATATGTAACATATGCTGCTAAAACCAGAAAATTCTAGTACATACTGCTTTTTTTTTTTTTTTTTTTTGGTACCAGGGATTGAACTCCGGTCCTTCCACTTGCAAAGCAGGCAGCAGCACCACTGAGCTAGATCCCCAGCCCCATAGTGCTTTTTCTTGATTATACAGCATCTGCACTTTATTATTCTGCATTTTTCTAATATGCATATAAGATTGTTTCCTATTTGTTAACTTTGATTAGTATCATTCTAGAGATTTGTGGAAGAACAAATAGAAAGAGAAAGGAAAAATAATTCCTGTGACGAGCAAGAGCTAATCGGAAGAAGGGAAAAAAGATCAAGGGGATGCATTGGATAGTATTTGTGAGAAAGCTTTTTTCTGAGGTAGAATGAGTAGAGTTAAAAGCTTTTTTAAAAATCAGAAAAGGGGATCATGTATGTGTTTTAGAGAGAAGAAAGTGTGTTGGAGAAGGCATAAAGCTATTGTACTATTGGTTATTGTTTGGAAGTTTAGCAGTGCTCTGAAGCAAGGGAGGGAGAGAAAGGCAGGAGAAGACATAGGCCTGGGGGCATTTGGAGATGACTCTTATCACCAGGTTAGTGAGTTATCACTGGAGGCAGCATAGACCAAACATCTGAGGATGTGAATCTCTCATTCTATTCTAAATGAAAACAGAAGCATCTAAGCATCTTGCTTGGTTGCTATTGTTGTTGTTGTTGTTGCCTTTAACCAATATAAAGTGCTATGTAAACATTAAATGAATATTGAAACAAAGAGGTCAGAAATTGAAAACATAACAATAGGAATCTGAGTGGCATCTTAGAAGATTTAAAAGTGCTATAGTATGAGGAATTTAGTAAAGTAGAAACAATAAAAGAAACTCATAGCTAAGCTTTGTTATTGAGTGCATTTATTTAATTTATCACTACAGTTTGTATCTCTCTTTTCTTTTCCAGGAGCCTCGCAAACAACAATCTCCAGACACTCCCAAAAGATATTTTCAAAGGCCTGGATTCTTTAACAAATGTGTAAGAGGATTTAAGACATTACTAATTAATTTGTAGTAATTAACAAGAAAAGCTGGTGTTGATGACTAGAATTTTTAATTGGCTTTAAAATTAGACCCAAATTTTTAAATTTTTATTTTACATCAGCCTAAATTTTAAATTTACACAGACTAGCATACGAGTCTTTCACAGTATTTACTGTTGGGAATTCTGAATATACAGTAACCAGGCATTACTTTGACAAAGTGTGTGTCTGCCTGCACAGGGTGACCATAGGGTTTCTGAGGGCTAGGAAGAGGAGACCCTGGCAGAAATATCAAGATCCCTTTTTTTCTCATGAGGTCCAGGAAATCAGGCTCTAAAGAAATAACATAAAGAAGTCTGGGAAACTGACAGAACAAGATGAAAGGTTACACCCTTGGGTCGGTTGGTCAACAGAGAAATGGAGCAGGAAGTGGGGGAAGGGAAGAAATTTGCCTTTTCTCTCATTACACTGAACAACAACTCTAGGCTTAATCCTGAGGAATTTGGCTTAAGCCCCAGGAAGGGAATGAACTTAATTATTTTTGACCCTTTTTCAAACAAAAGAGCTTTCAAACTTTGACTTTTAAGCCTCATAATGAAAGATCTTTGCAAGGAATTTATATATTTTGCTGTAAGCAGAACAAGTACTATATGCCTAACCCTCTCAAAAGCAATTTAGGTTCTTTTAATGGCCATCCAAAACATTAGCAGGGTATTTTATGTCTTAAAGTAGAACATAGGAACAAATAAAAGAGTAAATGAAAACAAAGATTTTTTTCACTCTATGTACTTTGCTATAGAACAGTGATGGTGACCCTTTCAGAGACGAGTGCCAAAACTTTAACCCAACCCTTATTTATCACAAAGTGCCAACATTGCAATTAAACCTGAATACTGAGGTTTTAGTTTAGAAAAAACACCACATACATTAATATCTTTTGTCTTGAAAGAAAAACAACACACAGGCCATAGGTTCACCATCATTGCTGTAGAGCATATATTGAAAACAACTTTTCTCCAATAACAAACAAAATCTGAGTCAAGTATTTTCTTTTAAGCCCAGTATTTAACTTCAAATAAGGAAGCTAATGAAAAACTTCCTTTGTTCTCTTCAGTAGTACCCCAGCCCCTCCTTCATGCCTATTACCCCAATTCCTAAATAACAGTTCATTTCCAAGAGAGTGCAAGAATCAAGACACTTGTAAAAGAGTTCTGCATGAATCAGCTATCTGCTGTGGTTTACAATAGCCCAGAAGGGTTGGCATTCATTATTCTTGATCAGAGGACTCTTAAGAGATGAAGCCAGTTCAGGAATGTTTTGGAATTTGGCTGGTGGTCCATTTTGGAGCTATATGGGATATAGCTCTTGGAGGACCTTCTATCCCATCCTTGTGTCAGTCCAACACTTGAAATTGTCTCAGTCTGTCTAGGGAATCCCATAATGGGTTTGGCTTCTTGGCTTACTCTACTATGACCAAATCAAGAATTATCTTAGATGTACAAGGATACAAGCCAACTTGCCTTTTAGTGAATTTCTTGGTTTTCTTGAAAGTATCCCCTAAAAAATGTTGTTAAATGCTATGTGATGCATGAAGACTAGGCAGCACCTGTCTTAAGAATTTTGTGTGATCAGAAAAGGAAATGGAATTCCTGAACAGAAACAATGGCAAAGAAAAACCAAAAAAAAACAAAGAACTTGGTGAGTTGGGATCAGTTGTGGAAAATTTGAACTATGCTATATAATTTGGTACGAGCATGAGCTATTGTACGCATACATTAACTATGGCAAAGTCACTTCCTATTAAAACTGAATTTGTAGACCATGGAATAGGATCAGAATTAATTATATCTGTGAGAAAGAAGAAAAGCAAAGAACTCATTTGATTTAATTAAATATGATACAATAATCACTACATTCTGTCCTCTAGTCCTGTGCTGTCCAGTATAGTGCTGCATGACACTTATAGTCACTTAGCCCTTACAATGTGCTACTAGAGCAACTGAGGAGCTGAATTGTAAACTTTACTTTGGTGGGGGAGGGGGTGCACAGGGTTGAACCCAAGGACTCAGATATGCTCATGTATGCTCTATCACTGAGCCACATCCTTGCCCCTTAACTTTTCAAACTTTAAGTTTATATTTAAAAATTGCTCTTCAGGGCCGGGGATTTAGCTCAGTGGCTTCATTGCCTGCTGGGCAAGCGCAAGGACCCAAGTTCGATCCCCGGTACCAAAAAAAAGAAAATTGCTCTTCAGTCAATTATTGAAAAACTTTTAAATATGTCTGAAACAACCAGTTGTATGTTTCTTTAGCTACAGATTTTATTAAATCAAAACTCATTTCTGATGAGAATTTAGGATGAGTTGAGATATAATGTCAGTATAAAATACACAGTAGACTTCAAAGACTTAGTTAAAAAAGGATGTAAAATATCTCAAAAATGTTTACATTGACTACATCCAAAAAATAAAACATATTATTAATTCCACTTTTTTTGAACTTTTTTAGTGCAGCTCTAGAAAAATTTAAATTATACATGTGGTTTACACACTATTCATTTGATAGCACTGCTCTGGGATAAACTGCCTTTGAATCCAAAAGAGAGGAAGTTGTGAGGCTCCATGGACTAGGGTAGCCTTTAAAAGTGCTCTGTGGTCACTCTCTGAGCCCAAACTAAGTGGTCAGTCAAGTCCAAGGCAGATCATAGGACACAATGTAAAGCCAGGCATGGTAATTTTGCTGATGTTAATTGCTGAAGAAGTCATGCTTCTGACATACCAGGGCCCTTGTACTGCAAAAGCAGCAGAAATTTGTCTTTCAGGGACCTTAGAGGGAATTCATTTAATTGTGATTGTAAATTGAAGTGGCTGGTGGAATGGCTTAGCCACACCAATGCAACTGTTGAAGACATCTACTGTGAAGGCCCCCCAGAATACAAGAAGCGCAAAATCAATAGCCTTTCATCCAAGGATTTTGACTGCATCATTACAGGTAATGTACTCAAAATCAATTTATAGCATAAAATTAAAATAAGGACTACTTTTTTTTTGTATGTATAGGAACTCATTTTTTTAATATCTTAAAAACAGACTGAGCACTTTAATTTAAAAAATTGTGAACCACTAAAACTTCATATGTTTAAAAGCAAAATAAAATTGCCATTTTACTATTTCTTGAAAATAAATATACTTCTTACAGGTAGTTGAGATCTAGCCAAAGAAAAAGGTATTGAGATTAGCTCACAGTTACTCATCATCATTTCCTATTTTTGCAGAATTTGCAAAATCTCAAGACCTGCCTTATCAATCACTGTCCATAGACACTTTTTCTTATATGAATGATGAGTATGTTGTCATTGCTCAGCCTTTTACTGGAAAATGCATTTTCCTTGAATGGGACCATGTAGAAAAGACTTTCCGGAATTATGACAACATTACAGGTATGAAAAGCCTGGTAAAATTCTGAATGGGAAACTAAACAATTTTTGTCAGTGGCAGTAGGAGAAGATAAGTGGTATGAGGGAGTGCTGTGAGCAAGCTTACAGTCTCCTGAATCAAAGCTCCACCTTTTACTAAGTAAGTTGGGATTGTCCTCTGAGCTCTCATCTCTTCACTTGTAAAATGGGAATAATACCTGACTCATGAGGTTGTTAATAAGATGCTATCATGGGTACTAGAAACTCAGCATAGGACCCATCATACTAAATACATAATAAAAGGTAAATTATTTTCCAAAAGGTATTGATTTCTAATCTAGCTGTGCAAGCTACTCATTCTCACTGGACTTCCAATTTTTTCTTACCTATGAAATAAGGTTTTTGCAGATAAACATGTCTCAAGCTCTTTCACACTAACATTTCTTTTGCAAAATATTAATGTATACCCTGTAAATAAGTTTTATATTCCAATAAATCTATAAATCATATGTCCCACTTAGAGATTTATGTCATATACATTATAGGTTTTGAGGGATCTTGCAGTGAAGAAACCTATTGTCATTATTCTTACATATAACTTGGTTATAGAATCCAGTTTCTTCCATGAAAATTACTTAGGTGATCTCATAAGTTTCTTTATCATCGCAACAGTTTTAAAAATTATGTCATAAATATTAGAACAATTCTGAAATGTTTACATCAGCTTTAGCTTGTAACACCTTCAAACCTGCTCTCTAATCTCCCCATAAAATGTCACTCATCAGATAAGGTATAAAAGGTTATAATTAGATTTTACTGGTGACCACCATCCCCAATCATCACCAAAACAGTCTGGGGCTTGCTTGAGACTAAGGTTACCCAGATAAAGGGACCTCTCCAAACTGAGACCCTTTTAGAATCCTTCTTTTTCAAAGAAGATGTGCTTCCATTTCTCCCCTAAGTTTTCCAATAGACTGCAGCAGAGTTTCATGCAAGCTAAACCAGGTTCTTCTGACCTGTGTACAGCACATCAGTTGCTGTAGATGACTCTTCAGAGGAGCACTTGAAAGACAAATGAAGCACACATTTGCAAAATTTCAGAGGGCACCTCAGAGTTTATCCCATCTAAGGTGCTGTCTTTGTTCCTACTGCTATAATAAAAATATCTTAAATTGAGTAATCTATAAACAGAAATTTATTTCTCACAGTTCTGGAGGCTGGGAAGTCCAAGATTAAGGTTCCAGCAGAGTCAGTGTTTTACAGGGACTTACTCTCTTCTTCAAAGACAACATCATCTCTTTGTCCTCGCATGGCAGACAAAGAGGACAAAGAAGGACAAAAGTGATTTCCTCAAGCTCTTTTATAAGGACGCTAATCCTATTCATAAGGACTCTATCCCCATGCCTTAATTACCCCCTAAAAACTTCAAATTTTTATAGTGTTCCATTGGGTTAAATTTCTGCATGAATTTTGGAGGTACATAAACGTTCAAGCCCACATCAGATGACAAATTTATGTAAGATATGAGGTGATTGTTTTCTCACTGCAGACAGACATTGCTACTTAGTCATGGTGCTTTCTTCCATAGTGCAGACACAGCCACAGAATCTTTCTCAACACAAGTTCTCTGTGTAGTCATAACCAGTAAGTCAATGATTATTGATACATACAGTGAAACTGTCTACCCCTGAACTATTCTTTTTTTTTTTTTTTTTGGTACCAGGGATCGAACTCGGGTCCTTGCGCTTGTGCAGCAGGCAGCAAAACCAATGAGCTAAATCCCTGGCCCTATCCCTCATCTATTCTAAGCCCTCATTGTACAGGATCAAGAAAACTGAACCCCAGAGAAGTTAAGTGATTTTTCCAAGAGCAAATAATCAGTTTGGTTCTGAAAAAAGTCACAAAGAAAAATAATTTTGGCTGTGGATGGAGCCAATTAGCAGAAAGAGCTAATGTAGAACTTTTTGCCTCAGAATCCCCAGTGCTGTAGTCAGTAAAGCTTGGGGCCCAAACTTGCTCTGCCTGTCTGAATTTTCTATAACTAACCTCCCTCTAAGAGATCATAGACTATTGATAAATGTCAAACTCTTAGAAAAAAGGATACTAACCGAGGCCACCGACAGATCCCTTATCATTATCTGAGATTTCCCAAAATAAGTTTCAGGAGCATCACCCATTGCTGTACCTCTTTTCACTTTTCTCCAGGATTCCTCTTCCTTCTCTTCTCTCCTGCAACAAGTGACCTAAAGTGCTAGAAATGTGACAAGTAGTATCTACTGCCTTTGTCAGGGAATCCTACAGCAAGAAGCAGTTTTTCTAGGACCAGGAATAGTTCAAACTTAGAACAACCCAATTGTAAGTAGAGCTAGGAGCTGCCCAAACCATCACTCTAGACTTCTAGAACTTTGTAGGTTCCTGGCCCAGACTGCAAGCCCTGGCATAGTTAACCTTGCCTCTGCTTGGGTTAAAAGCTTAAAGATGCTGGTAGGTAGGCCTGGGTTTGAATGCCAACTCTCCCATCGGCATCAGGCAGCAGAACTTAGTCCCCTCTGAGCTTCAGTTTGTTCATCTGGAAAAGAGAAGATGTAATATTTACCTCTTACAGTTGTTGGGAACATTTAATGAAATGACTTGATAAAACACACAGTAAACTCAATAAATGGTGGCTTTTAATTAGAATTACTATGGTTAATTTATGTGTCAGGAAAGCAATACTTTTTTTTCTGCAAGAAGTTTAAGAGGAGAAAATTCGGGCTGTACCTGTGTCCTGAGCACCTAGAGCAGTTTGTGTGTGACGTGACAAATTTATTATTCATAACAAGGCCTTGTGAGGTGAAAAGGCACAAAACTGCAAGATATTATTGCTATTGGCCTTGGAGACTGGCCTTGCCTAATCAACCAAGAAACTCTACTGTTTCAGGCTGATTTTTGGTAGCAGCTATATGGCCTCAGCCAGCATGTTTACTTATTCCAAAGAGGATACCCACACAACTAATCTCTCATTTGTCTCTTCCCAGGCACGTCCACTGTAGTGTGCAAGCCTATAGTCATTGAAACTCAGCTCTATGTTATTGTGGCTCAGCTGTTTGGTGGCTCTCATATCTATAAGCGAGATGGTTTTGCAAACAAATTCATAAAAATTCAGGATATTGAAATTCTCAAAATCCGAAAACCCAACGACATAGAAACATTCAAGATTGAAAACAACTGGTACTTTATTGTTGCTGATAGTTCAAAAGCTGGTTTTACTACCATTTATAAATGGAACGGAAATGGATTCTACTCCCATCAATCTTTACATGCCTGGTACAGGGACACTGATGTGGAATATTTAGAAATAGCCAAAACACCTCTGACACTTAGAACACCTCATTTAATTCTGTCCAGTAGTTCCCAGCGTCCTGTAATTTATCAGTGGAACAAAGCAACACAATTATTCACTAACCAAACTGATATTCCTAACATGGAAGATGTCTATGCAGTAAAGCACTTCTCAGTGAAAGGTGACGTATACATTTGCTTGACAAGATTCATTGGTGATTCCAAAGTCATGAAATGGGGAGGCTCCTCATTCCAGGATATTCAGAGGATGCCATCGAGAGGATCTATGGTGTTCCAGCCTCTTCAGATAAATAATTACCAATATGCAATTCTTGGAAGTGATTACTCCTTTACTCAAGTGTATAACTGGGATGCAGAGAAAGCCAAATTTGTGAAATTTCAGGAATTAAATGTTCAGGCACCAAGATCATTCACACATGTGTCCATTAATAAGCGTAATTTTCTTTTTGCTTCCAGTTTTAAGGGAAACACACAGATTTACAAACATGTGATAGTTGATTTAAGCGCATGAGACACCAAATCCTGTGGCTGCCATCAGAAACTTTCTACAGTACATGACCTGGATGAACTCAATGCATGATGACTCTTCTTATCACATTTGCAAATGAATGCCTTTTAAACATTGAGACTGCTAGAACCAAGCACTACCAGTACTTCATCCTTAACTGTCCAGTCCAGTGGTGTGGGAAGTTACCTTTTATAGGGCAAAATTTAATTGTGTGACTGCTCTTTGCAGTGAAGATGTGTAAATAAGTGTTTAATGGTATCTGTTTCTCCAAAAAGAAATATTAATATGTACTTTTCCATTTATTTATTCATGTGTTCAGAAACAACTGCCAAATAAAATGTTTACATTTTCTTTCATATCCCAAAGGTAATTATTTATGGGAATTGATTATTCTTCTTGATGGTATACTGAGGAAATAGTTTATATAATAGGATTACTTTTGGATCAAGGCTTTATGATGTGAATAATGAGTGAAGATAAAACACTGAGATTGATTACCCCATGATTTACAAACAGATATATCTATGTCTGTATCAGCTGATTTGGAATGTACAAAGGTCTTTCCAGAGATAATGGATTTTAGGGACATCTGAAGTGAAATTTTGACAAATTAAAACAAGAGTAGGGAAATTTTGCCTATTACAGAAAGACTAATTTGAAATAAAGAGGAAGACTTCTTTTATAGCCCCAGCTAAAAAATGTCATTCAGACAATTTATAGAAGAAATTAAAAATCAAACTTTAGGATTTAAAAATTCTTTATCAGGGACTTTCTAAATGTTTGATTCTAGAATCATCTAACAGCATATAGAAATTGTAACTTTATAGCACTTGCCCCAAATGTAGCTGCTATGAAGGCCCCTAATCTGATCAAGGATACTGCACTTTTAGGAACCAAATTTTATGTTATTGACCAGCTGCACAGTGACCAGAAGGCTTATCTTTGATTTTTCTGAATTCTTACTTCTAGATCATATGAGTCCTTGGCACCTACCACAATGACTGTGATATAGCAGGCTCTCAAAAAGTGCTTCAGAAGAAACATATAGGCCCTTCTCTTATACTAAACATTATGAGGTCTAATCGGTCAGTATTTACTGGATACTTACTAAGAATAAAGAATGACTGGGGAGCAGTATTAAGGAAGAGCAGGACCTGATCCTTGCCCTCTGGGGTCTTAAAAGATGAATTGGGTAATAATACAAAACCTTACAGAGTAAGCAATGAGTGTCAGGAATCATGTATACATTCCAGATTATAAATATCTGGGAGTATTAAGTATAACTAACTTCTGGGACATTGTCATCCTTGTTTAAATTTAAAGGGAAAGTATTATTTCAAAAGGGGATCATGACAAAAGATATTCCTGCCAGAAACTAGTTGTGTGTGCTGCTTTTATGGAGGGAATCAGGGTTTGCTCCTACTAAATGTCCCCCAGACTCTTTTGCCATACCACTGGGTAGAAGCAGGCAGACAGCAGCCTCTCTGCCCAGCACAGATCTGGCAGACCAAATCATCAAACAATCTGCACCAACAATATTTACACAGCCTCCTGGCAGCAACATCCTGAGAAATTATGCACAAGTACCAGATTTCTTTATCCATACAGAAAAGATATTAGTCTGACATCAGGCTTATAGAGGAAAAGAACACATACCCACTCCTGACCCTACAGCTAGGGAGAACTAGCCTTGAAATATCTCTTACTTTGCTCAGTTCTCTTCCTATAAGCAGAATCATATGCTGTTAGAGAACACCTGTTTTATACAGACTGGGTTTAAATCTAGCTGTGCCGTACACTGGCTTTGTCCATAGGCAAGTTTCTTAATTGACTTGAGCCTGTTTATTTGTAAAGAGGGACAATAGTACCTACATTCAAGAACAAGGGAAGGATTGAATGAGAAAGTGCAAGAGCAGCAGTTTGTATTTTCCAAATGTGGTCACCACTATTTCTCCCATCCCCTGTGATCTGTGAAACCCTTGCCCCACTCCATCAAGAGGTGGTGCCTAACTCACCTGTCCTAACCAGGTGGGTTTGTTACTTGCTTGTAACCCATAGAATGTAATGGAAATCATGCAGTTTGAATTCTGAGGCTGTTGTAAAAATGGTGATGCTTCTGCCTTATAAATTGGGACACTGTTCATGGACCCCTGATCAGCTATGTATGAAGTCATGCTAGCCTGGGGCCACCATTCTGTGCTGAAGCCCAGGCTCCATAGAGAAACTACATGTCGGTGCTTTGACCAAGTGCTCCAGCTGATGTGTCACCAACAGCCATCATCGACCACCACTCCTGTGAATGAGGATGTCTCCAGTGGTTCCAGCTCCTGCTGTCAAGTTACAACCAGACATCAGACCTTCCCGACTGAGGCCACAGACATTAGGGAGCAGAGAAAAGCCATCCCCATGGTGCCCTTGTCCAACTTCCTGACCTATAGACTCTAAGAACATAATAAAATGGTTGTTTTAAATGGCTGCATTTCAGAGTGATTTGTTATGCAACAATAGTCATTGGAAAACACAAAGTGCTTATCATGGAACTTCTGCATGTGAACACTCACCAAGTAATGGGTGTTGCTAATTGACTCCACAGCCCAAATACTGTACACTTTTCAATCATAACTTACTCTATAAATTAATCATTCATTTCACTTTTTGTTTCATTTTTTATCAGTATGAGATCCATGATCTTTCCCTATACCAGGCATTGTGCTACATTCAAGGAGGCAGAGATTAAAGGCCTAGATTCTGCCCTGTTAGTTCTCAGAGAACAATCAACTATTGAAGTCAACAAACTAACTCTCTAGTTTACCTAAAAGCCTGAGGTCCAGAGCTGCAACATGAGCTGGCTGATTTTGGACTATCATTCAAGCCTTCTAATACTCAAGACAGTCCTCTCTCCATTCAAAAACTTACTCTGCAAACCCAACCTGGGATTGTAGATAGGGAGAGAAATAAGTGAGGAAGAAGGTAGAGAAAATAAATCTAAGAAATATTGAGGAGGGAGACATCTTCCCTGTCTTATATAAACTATCTCCTCTCCAGCCACTGATGATTGGACCTGAAGTAATTCCAAGTCCAGGTGTTCAATGAAGAAGTTCTCTCTCCTGGCCCAATTAGCCACAGGCACCAGATTTGCAAGGGAATGATCTTAAATCAGGCTCACTAAAAACAGAGAGATTTGCTGAGGAAGTGTTCTTGAAACATAGCTATAAAGAAGTGAGAAGAGCAGTACTGGGGAGAAGAGGATGCTGCGCAAAGACAAGAGAAGAGTGGCTACAACCTGATCCTATAGAGTGAATTACAGCACAGATGTGTCCTGCCTTGAGGCATGAAGGATGGACCAGTTAGCTCTTCACCTGATCATCACAAGAGAAAGTTCCAGCTGGGTAAGGACGAGCCTCCAGAGAAGAGTATACACAAGCTATCATTGACCAATACCGACAGCAGGTGCAAGGTGAGTGTATCAACCCAGAAGAGGATGTCTGGGTAGGGTAACAAGAGCATATGGTGCCACAGTGATGACTGGGTAGCTAAGACACTATTTTGAAGCAGCCAAGTGGCCCCTGTACCACAAAAGTGAAAAGCTGGTCAGAAAAGTGAGAGGAGTCTGAAGTAGAAACTCAGAAAAAAGCAGAAGTGAGAAGCTACACAGTCTGAAGGAAACAAGAGAGAGAGAAGTAAAAAAGAGAAAGGATAAGAAAAAGAGGAGGTGTATTAGACACTTTTCCATTGCAGAACAATATATACAATGCCCACGACTTAAAGGAGAAGAGGTTTACTTTGGCTCATAATTTCAGTCTATGGTTGGTTGGCTCCAAGACAAAAGCATCATAACAGAAGGGCCACGTAGGGAATGAAGGATGGACCCAGGGACAAGTATATACCCTTCTAGGTATGTGTGACTCATCCCTCCAACCAGCCCCCACTTCTGAACAGCACATAAATACATGAGTGGATTAATCCTGATAAGTCTAGCACTCCATGATCCAATCACAGTCGAAAAGCCCCATCTCTGAACAGACTTTTGGTGGACATTCTAGATGTACACCATAACAGGTGGACATGGAGGGACAGTGATAGGAAGTCTGGAAGGTGCCAAGGTCAGGAGAACCTCCAGAGAGGTCACATATTGAAGACCTAAAGTGGCCTTTCTCCTTCTATTCCATCATTCTCTATTTTGTCCTCTCATATCCACACAATTTGCCAATCCTTGATTATCTAAGTACCTACATGTTTCTATGCCCAGGTTGTTCCACTACCTATAAGCCCCTTTCCCCCAACTTTTCTGCTTTTAGAAATTTTAGTTCTCATCCAACCAGTTAAATGTGATTTCTTCTTCCTCTGGCTTTCCTAGCCCATTGCTTTTACGGTGAACACAGTTCATTGCTAGGAGCGCTGCACCATAGATCACTATGGCCAGGCCTAACTCTCCTCCTTCCAAGGATGAGGTAGGGCCCACTTGAAACAAGGAACATGCATCTTGTTCGCTTCCTCCCACTGGTGAGGTAGGGCCCCGCGGGAGAACAGGAGACAAGAGGGCATGGTGGAGAAAGGCCTGGCTGAGAAGACGACTATCTTCCTTCTCGCCCATTCACCAGAGAACTATCAAGCATGGTGTCCTGCGGATCCTAGCCACTCTCCCTGTTTCTATCACAGGCATCCCCTTTGACCTCCCCCTGTACTTCTCTTATCTCTACACTATAAATAAAGGCACTGAGGATGCCAGCCAGCCCTTTTATCCCATCAGGAAAAGGGGTTTCCACCTGGCCCCAGCTTTATCAGCTTTATCTCTTTGTCATTCTTTTTGTCTGTCCTTCTTAATCGCCCACCATCATTTCTCGCTCTGTGAACCCTTCAGCCACTTGGGCCATGGCAGCTCATAATTCTTTCTATGTTGTATTGTGGTTAGTTGTTGACATATCCATCTCTTCCACCAGATTATCCCAGGATCAGGACTGTATCCTGGGCATCAGTGACTTTTTCATACCACCCCACCCTTAAGCTACTAGAGCAGTCCTACTTTATAGAGGATCCACAGAACTAGAAGAAATCTAAGAGCTGAAGCCTAGTATCTTCAGCATTTCCCATCCCCTCATTCAACCTTTCTTCCTCTCCTTATTTACAGAAGCTTTGTTCCCACTTTTCCTTCTATTCTCTTTTTTCCTTGTCCCTTCTTTGTTTTTCTCATCCTCCCTGCCTTGCTCTCCTTCTGATTTGAACATTATTTTTTCATTTTCCAATATCTATTATACATTTTTGTCCTTATTTCCACTTCCAGTTTCTCACACCAGAGAAAAAATGTGGAATTTAAACATATGTTTCTGATTTATTTCACTTAAGAGTATGGTCTCAAGGTGGATCCATTTAGCTATAAATGTCTCAAACCTATCCTTCTTTATGGAAGAGTAATACTCCACTGTATAAAAAACCCACATTTTCTTTATCCATTCTTCAGTTGATAGGCATTTGGGCTATTTCCAAGATTTAGCTGCTACAAAATGTGCCACTATAAACATGGGTGTACATATAACACTGGTGTATGATGCTTTTAATTCTTTTGGGAAGATGCCAAGAAAGGGAATAGTTGGTTCAAATGGAACCTCTAGCTTTAGCTTTTTGAGGAATCCCCACACTGATTTCTACAGTGGTTGCACCAGTCTATGCTCCCACCAACAGTGGAGAAGAGTTGCTTTTTCCCCACAGCCTCGTCAGCATTTGTTACTGGCTAATTTCTTAATAATAGCCATTCTTTCTGGAGTGAGATGGAATCACAGCCTTGTTTTAATTTACATCCCTTAAATGAGCAGTGATGTTGAGCATTTTTTTCATATATTTATTTCTGTTTCTAGTTCTTCATCTGAGAAATGTCGATTCACTTCAGATTCCCATTTTTGGATTGGGTCTTCCAGCAGATTTAGTGTTTATGTTTTAATATTTAGATCTTTGATCCATTTTGATTTGAGTTTAGTGCATGGCAAAAGATATGGGGTCTAGTTTTAGTCTTCAGAATGTGCAAAGCCAGTTTTTCCAGCACTGTTTATTAAAGAGGCTATCTGTTTTCCACTGAAGGTGTTTGGCTCCTTTGTCAAAGATAAGGTGGCTGAGTATGTTTGGAGTCGTTTCTGTATCTTCTAATGTGTTCCATTGATCCTAGTATCTGGTTTTTGTTGTTGTTTGTTTTTATTTGTTCATTTGTTTGTTTGCCAGTATCATGCTGTTTGTATCACTGTAGCTTCATAGCATAATTTCAAGTCAGGGATTGTGATGCCTCCTGCCTTGGCTTTGTTGGCCATGATTACTTTTGCTATTTCAGGTCTCTTCTGGTACCAAATGAATTTTAGGATTGTTTTCTCTAATTTTGTAAGATATGCTATTGAAATTTTTATCAAGATTGAATTAAATCTGTATAACAATTTTGGAAATATGCTCATTTTCACTATATTTGTTCTTCCTACCCAAGAACAAGGAATATGTTTCCATTTTCTGATGTCCTCTTTGACTTCTTTTTTTAGTGTACTGTAGTTTTCTATGTAAAGGTCTTTTACTTCCTTTATTAAATCAATTACTAGGTATTTCATTTTTTTGGATCCTATTGTGAAAGGTGTTGTTTTCCTAATTTCTCTCTCGGTGAGTTTGTTATTTGTATACAGGAATGTTATTGATTTCTGAGTGTTGACTTTGTATCCAGCTGCATTACTGAATTTAGTTACTAAATCTAGAAGTTGTTTGGTGGAGTTTTTGGGGTCTTCTATGTAGAGTACTATGTCATCTGCAAATAATCATAGTTTAACTTCTTCCTTTTCTAACCTTATTCCATTTATTTATTTCTCTTGTCTAATTACTCTGGATAATGTTTCCAGAACTATACTGAATAAGAGTGGTGTCATCTTTGTCTTGTTCCTGATTTTAGAGTGGAACCTTTCAGTTTATGTCCATTTAGTATGATATTGACTGTTGGTTTGTCATAGATGGATTTTATCAAATTGAGATAAAGACTACCTATTCCAATTTTCTTTAGCGTTTTTATCATGAATGGGTGTTGGACTTTGTCAAACACTTTTTCTGCATCTACTGAGATGATCATATGGTTTTGTCCTTAGATCTGTTAATATGGTGTATTACATTTATTGATTTGCGTATGTTGAACCATTCCTGCATCCTGGGATGAATCCCACTTGTTGTCATAGTGTACAACTTTTTTCATGATTTGCTGCATTCTGTTTGCCAGTAACTTATTGAGGATTTTTGCATCTGTATTCATTAGAGAGACTGACCTATAGTTCTCTCTTTTAGATGGATCCTTTTATGGTTTTGGTATCAGGATAATGCTTGCTTCCAGGAATGAGTCTGAGAGTATTGCTTCCCTTTTAATTTCATTAAAGAATTTGAGAAGTAGTGGCATTAAATCACCCATAAATTTCTTGTAAGGGGCTTACAAGTCTCAAAACCAAACTTCCAGATCACCTAC